GGTTCAGTGTAGGGAAGTAAATGGTTAACGGCCCTTAATAGGGACGCACTGTAAGACAGAGTCGCTCTCCAGTGGGTTTCAGTAATTGGTGTTATGAGCGGTGCAGGTCCCAGTGCTACGGGTTAAATATGGAGCCCTGTTACATAACCGCTAATGTTTCCATTAATTTCATTGAGCCGTGGAGTTATCTTCAGCTGCTGAGACATCTTACGGTCCTGTAGTATTTTAAGAGTTCACACCGGGTTTCGCTGGATCTCGAGCTTTGAGCTGCTGGTTACTGTAGTATGATGAGTTTTCACAGTGGAGCTTTAAAGGGGTCATATGATGCTATTTTAAAGATGATTATTTTGTGTATTTGGTGTAACAGAATATGTTGACATGCTTTAATGTTAAAAAAACACATTATTTTTCAAATACTGTACATTAGGAAAAATTGAAATCGCATCATATGACCCCTTTAACCTGAACGTGAGCTTTCTAACAGGATTCTCTGCGGTAGATAAGATGCTCTTCACTAATATCTTAAGTGCTGGGGAAAGTAAAACATTACAATATTGTGTTACTCCCTAAAAAAGTAACTGATTACATCGTTTCTCTTTATGGAAAGTAGCGCGTTATGTTACTTTTTAAATCCAAGCTGAGCTTGCATTTTTGTTTTTAATATAAAAAGTTATATTTTTAGCAAATGCAAAAGCCCTTTCACACCAAAAGTGAAATGAATAGGCTGAAGGAAATGGATTCTGGATTGCATGAAGAATAGGACGCAGGAGAAGAAAGTTCAACACTCTTCAGCAATGAAAATAAATTAAACACAAATGCTATGTTTATCTAAAGTATTTTTTTCTTGTTAGCATGGTTAAATTGGATCATTGAGGGTCAGCAGCAAAGACACTGGCTAATAAAATGGGATTAAATACAAAAAGGATAGGCCTATTTGTGTTGTTTAACATAATTAATTATTGCAGGTTTGCATCATATTCTGAGTTTGCATTCCATTGTTTTTATTAATTTTGAGGAATACTGAATCTGTTTTTGTGCAAGTGAGATGAGTAAATGGTTCAAAGACGAAAAAGGGTTCAAGCATAAAAGCAATAAGTGTAATACTGCTTTAAATTGTTGTTATTTTCCCCCCAAAAAAGTAAAAAAAAAATCTGTTTAATTTAATTGCAATTTTGTTTTTGTTTTTCTGAGCAAAAAATAAACATCATACATTTTCCCCTGATTTACAGAAGAGACCCACTAAAATGTCATTCAGTGTAACAATCTTGTCAGGCATATTTACAACAAAAATCAATTTATGACATGAAAATACTAATTACTTTCACCCCAAATACAAATTAGTTATCTACTATCCGAGATATCCTAGGCTTTGCCCATTTGTCAGTAAGAATTTTTTACTCATTTAAAACACACAAATTTAATATGCTCCCTTATTCTTTTATATATTTTAATATGTCAGAATAAGCATGTTGTTTGAATTTTTACATACATATTGTGTTACACTAAATGACAATGTAACATTATTTCAACCAAATTTTGACATTTTATTCTTCAAAAACTTATTTGAAACCTTAAAAGTAGACAATTTATTTACATTTAATGTGCTTTCTATGGACATAAAATCACTTTTGTAAATTTCTTTTGATGTGGACAGCTTAACACCTTTGACCCAAATGCATGTTGACATTTAGTCTAGAACTACAGTAACATCATGTTCACACACAACGCCTCTGCACTGACTCCTGATTTCTGTCACCATGGCAACACCAGAGCTGTCACTCAATACATGGGAAACAAAGTAACTGGCGTTACTCGTTTGAAAAAGTAACTCAGATATTTTATTGCAAATTTAAAAGTAATGTGTTACTTTAGTAGTTACTTAAAAAAGTAATCTGATTACATAACTCGCGCCACTTGTAATGCATTATAACCAACACTGAATATCTTGCAGTGTTATGTAAAGACTTTTGCTCCATTATGTTAGAAACAGCAGCACTGAAGACACTTCTGACCGCGAGCGGTTAAAAACAGCAACTGCGTCTGGGACCATGTGATTCTGCGGGAGTATTTCTGGATGTCCTCAGCGTTTCTTTGTTTGTTTTTGTTTGTGTGCCGTGATGACGTCAGCTGCGTTCAAATAGTTTCTTTGGCAGCTCGTTGTGAAGTGATTATGGCGTTTTGTCTCTGCGAGAGAATCTCAGCAGACTGAAACCGAGCCCATGGGTTTGGTGTCACTCAGATTTTTCACTACTCTGTGTTTGGCACATTCACGTGTGCCGCTGAGAACTAATGGCAGCGGAGCTTGTTTGGTGGAGGCTGGAGTCTCTGGAGGATTTCTGCTGTTTTCTGGAGGAAAATTGTGCCGGTCTCTGGAGTCTTTGTTTGGAGAATTAATTTTACTCAATTCCTCTACACTCTTAAAAATAAAGGGGTTTTGCCAACCATTTTGGCTCCAAAGAATCTTACAGTAATCCATTCCAGAACCATTTTTTCTTAATGTAAATAACATTTTAATAATCTAAAGACCCTTTTTTTCTCTATAAAGTACATTTTGATCAGTGGAAGGACTCTGTGGATGTTAAAGGCTCTTCTTGGAACCGTCAATGCCAATGAGAACATCAGTGGAGGTTTATATCTTACACAGAACTGCTCTATAATGGGCTGTTCGCACAGAATGCGTTTTACATTCCAATGCGCTACTTTTCCATTGTTTTTCTATGTAAATGCCTGCTAGAGGAATGTGTATAATATCTATAATATTTCACATCTTGCATCTTTTACAGCGTCTTGCACATGAGCGCCGTGTTTTTAAGACGCCATGTCAAGTTAAAAGGATTTTACACGCAGCGCCGCTCATCAATGTCAGTTCCAGAGCAGTGGACCAATCAGAAGAGTGCGGAGGCGGAGCAAGCGTGGCAGGGCTCGCAAAATTTCTAAACCCCTGGTAGCCCTTCGGGCAAGCATTCTTCAGATTTTGCTAGCCCAAAAATGAATTTAACTAGCCCGAATAAAAGATATTGTATTTTTTATTCAAATAACAAGTCAAGAGAGTAGGGGTGCAACGGATCACAAATCTCACGGTTCGGATTATATTACATTATCATATCACATTTTGAGTCACAGATCGGATAGTTTTTCAGATGAGCAAAAAAAATATGCTTCTTTACTGTTTAAGTAACACTTATTATTTTAAGAACAATTTACTACTTCGATACCACAGCAAAAACTAGTAGCATATAGGGATGTAACAATTCATTTAACTCACGATGTGATAGAAATTTCTCACAATTTCTTTTTAACAAAATGAGATTTAAGACCGATTTTAAAAAAGGTGCCCTTTTGTTATTTCTCAGACCAAAAGGCTGCACATTACTTTGTGATATTGAAAATGTCAAACGATATACTAACTTGAAATTTTAAAACAAATCCCAAATCAAATAAATAAATAATACAAATAAAAGAAATGTCTCCATGCAAGTAAACTAAGGTTTTGCCTGTGTATTTTAATCACGATCCAAACAAAGATGCTGCATACATGTTATTTAGATTGTAAAATTTTGAAATTTGAAACAAAAACAAAATGGTCTGACTTTAGCTTTGATACTACATAAAAAATCTGAACGAAACAAAAACAGCAGACGGCCTGAATGAGACGCAAATGTCACTCTCTG